CATTGTATATGGAAGACACCAAAATAAAAAATCACAAACTGGAAAATGGTGAGCAGTTGAAGTAAGGACAGAGGAACAACATTCCAATAGCTCTTAAGTGGCCCCGCCCACAACCATTCTCTGTCCATGACAACCTATTTTTCATTCTCACCATTTGAATTACCTTATTGAAAACAGGTCTTCTCAGATCAATTCCTCTACTTTAAGCATTTGTGGTGACTCCCCATCTCCAACAGAATAAAGCCCAGGTTCTTTGGCAAGACGTATAGGAAAGGCCCTTCACAGTTGTCCCTTCTTCATCTTTAGTAGTTTCCTCTCCTCTTCCCCCTGCTCCCCTCTAGCCACACCAGCCATTCACCAAGCATCATGTACTTTCTTATCTTTGTGCCTTTGTTTATGCTGTTCCATTTTCCTGGAAGGAGCCTTCCCTGCCCACATCCACCTTAAGACCTCTTCCTTCAAGGCTCAAATACAACTTCTTTCAGTGTCAACTCAAAACCCCCATCCCCATCCAAGGATTATTTCCTCACGTGTTTTAAACCTACTGTGGACATGACTTCTGTTATAACACTTGTCAACTGAAAAAAGAAAAAAAAAAAACCACAACCTAAAAGTTGAGAATTACGTTTTCTTCAGCGGACTTTCTGAGGACTCAAGCCCAGGAGGCAGTTTCTCAGATAGCTGTGTATGACAGGAGCCAGGATGTACAGGGGTTTTTGCTAGAAAACCCAGGGAGTCCGAGCATCAGAAGATTACTATTAGTTAAAACCAAACATCTCAAGTTAATGAATTCAGCACTTTTCTGTGTAGGATGATAAATGGAATATTTATAAATGGAATATTTCCTGCCATATCCATAAACAGAGGATGTCACAGTCACCAATGATTGCAGCCCTCCAACGTGAGCTGGTGAGCCCTGAGGAAACTCAGGGCTGAAAAGAATACCTGCCATCTAGCAGCCAGCAGACTGCAGCCACTCCCTGCGGTGAGCCCTGAGGAAACTCAGGATGTGAAAACACAGGCCCCAGATAGATAAGGTACATAATCAAAGGAATGATTTCAGTGAGCCCAGACTCTTTCATCTTCCCATACATAGAAAAGCACTAAATTCCTTAACTTGAGATGTCTGGTTTTCTTTATTTAACAATAATCTTTTGACGTTCCCAATTACCTGCTCTTTGTTGCAAAGCTCCTACATATCCTAGCTCCTCCCCCTCCTCCTTGGAGCAGTTTCTCAGAGTTATCTGAAACGCTGTCTCCCGGTCTGCAGTCCTCATTTTGCCCCAAATAAAATTTAACTCGCAACTCTCACGTTGTGCATGTTTTTTTTTTTTTAAGTCAACAAGGGGAAGATGCAAAAGTCTGGGCTCACTGAAGTAATTCCTGTGATATACACCTTAACTATCTAGGGCCAGTATTCTGTTCTTTCCCATCCAGAGTCCCCTGAGGGTGCACCATTGGGGGTGGCTGTAGTGTTTGAGGGTTGCATCCTTTGCTGATATGGCAGGCTGCATTCTTAGTCCACACACTTATCCAGTGGTATTATCCCTATATATGTATGTCTCACTGAGTTGTGTTCTCCTTGGGGAAAGGGTCATATCTTGTTTTATCTGTGTATTCCTGTTTTTTAGAACCATACCTGACAAATAGTAGGTTGACAGCAAGTATTCATTGCCTTGAAAGATCTGCTTGATATTAATACGGCCAAAGGAGAAACACAATCAGTTAAGTACATTGCTATTTCCTGAATGCAGTATTATCTTTTGAGGGAAGATATGTAAAATCCTCTGCCAGGAAGAAGGGATTGAGGAAAAATTTTGTTTTGAGTGGAAGTTTAGGAGGGAGGTGATATAAAAAGAGGAGGTTGAAAGAATGAATGGACTAGGGGTATAAAGAATTAGGGAGGATGGCTTAAGAAACAAAAAGGAAATGGGACTAGAAAGAGAATGGGAGATGAAGAAAGAAGAAAAGAGGGGAGAAAAGTGGAGAGAGTACCAGGATTTTAGACTCTTACTTAGCTTAATTGCCGGGGAGTTTCTGAACGATGCTTTCTCACATGGACGTCCAAACTCTTTCCTGAATGAACCCCATTTTGTATTCTTCATATCACTCTCCCTCTGAAAAGACACAAGTCTGCTCCTTACACTGCCTTACAATTAGTGCATTGTTCTTCATTGTTCTCTGTGGAAAGCAGGAGGCAGAGTCCTCTGGTGGGAAGGCACTCACTACACAGGGACTCAAGGGCCTGGCACATCCCAGCTCCAGCCCCTCCAGCAAGGCGCTCAGCCCCTTCGACCTGAGAATCTTCATCTGTAAAATGGGATATCGATATCTGTCCAGGCTTCCTTTCAGGTCATTGTAAAGGTCTAAATAAGTGAGATAACATATATGAAAATACTTTTTAAGCAGTCAGGCTGCTCTGCGAATGAAGGTGATATTACTTACTTTGTTGAGTTATTCGTCAGGGGAGAGACCCCACTGGCACGTAGCATAGCCCTGTCTCCTGCTAATAAGTCCTGTTCACCCAAAGGAGGTAACAGTGTTTCTTTCTTCTCAGCAGTATTCTGAAGTCTCAGGAAGCTGGTGCTTTTAAATGTTCATGGCCCATGAGAAAGGCGTATAGAAAACCATGGCACTCCCATTTCAAAAAGACCTGGAGAAATACAAGAACATTGATGAAGATGAGCTTCTTGGCAAACTCTCAGAAGACGAACTGAAACAGTTGGAAAATGTTCTTGATGACCTAGATCCCGAGGTTAGTGACCTGGAACTGAAGCAGGTGGTTAGTGATATGATGGGATAAACGGTGTGGTGTGGTCCTTAAACAATAGTGTAGAAATTCCTGATCTCTAAATGCAAATTATGTGTTCTTCCCTGATTGGCTGTGGGTCATTACTTTTATAAACCCATGGAGAACCTCAGTAGCCACATCTATGATATAGCAATTGTATTTCTCAAAAACCAGTTTAATGTAAATGGGGGAAAATACTTTCCATTGGCTGAAGAAGGACTAGACTGACTGACGGAAAAAGAAAGGAAGAGGGAGACGAAACAAATATGACTGAGTTTCTTCTATGATTCATATACTCTGCTGGGCCCAGAAGCGCTTGAGACAAATTGTATTATCCCCATTTCATAAATGAGGAGACACACCAGGAGAAGTAACTTACATAAGATCCTATACTGGTAAATGTCAGAGATGGTATTTAAACCAGATCTTTAACCACAAAAGCAGATCTTTTTTATATCTTGTTTCTTTAACATGTATAAACAACTTGAAATCTTTGATAATCCCACAACAATGGATAGATGAGAGTAAATGTAACGAGAGAGTTCCCTGATGGTCCAGTGGTTAAGACGCCACGCTCCCAGTGCAGGGGGTGCGGGTTCGATATCTGGTCGGGGAACTAAGATCCCACATACCACATGGTATGGCCAAAACCAAATTTTTTTTAAGTATTAAAAAATAATAATAATAAATAAATAAATGTAACCATAATATCAGGTAAATTTAAATGGAGCTTCTCATATTTTTATGAGCTCTTGAAAAGGTAATTAGCTTGTTATAGTGATTGTTTAGCAAGCACTTTCTTCAGCTAATATTATCTCAGACATAGAATAGGAGGCACCTAAAATAGTGATTTTACTATAAATAAAAATGTCACTAAAATATTTATATGATATTCCATTATGCCAGATAATTTGGATATGGTTTTTACTTTAAAAAAATACTAGTATCCTTTTTTTATTTTTTTAAACTTAAGAAAGATACCTCTATATTTAATCAAGGAGGTATCAGCATCTACTGTAATACTCACTTACCAGCTTGGATGTTTCCCAGGAGAGGTTAGAAATAACAGAGTGTGGTCGCATTGGCTCATCCACATGCCTGCCTGGGAGCACTTTGGGTGCAGACCTGGCCAAACCTAAGAGGGATCTATGAAGAAAAAGGTTGTGAAGGGTGGCTAGCCTTTGCTACCACGTTCTAGAAGGCAGGTGCAGGAGACAGCCCGCCCCAGCCATGTGTGTTCTGCCTGAGCTCACCAGGAGCCCCCGTCTCAGCACAGAACGTTAGAGCAGGTGGGGCCTCAAAGATATGCCAGAGCCCTAGCCCTCAGCTCACACCCACATCTCCCCATACACAGCAGGGGTGGGGGAGGTAACAGGTGTCAGTCAGGCACACACCCTGCTTCCTGCTCACGCCTCTGTCTTGTCAGAGCGCACTGCTGCCAGCTGGATTTCGACAGAAAGACCAGACACAGAAAGCAGCCACCGGCCCGTTTGACCGCGAGCACCTCCTCATGTACCTGGAGAAGGAGGCTTTAGAACAGAAAGACAGGGAAGACTTTGTGCCCTTCACTGGAGAAAAGAAAGGTAAGACCACAGGCAGCATCTGGGAATGTAGGTACTCCTAAGGTATTGTCATGGAAGGTCAAGTAACAGAACTGGCCTGAAAGGGGGAAATAAGACCATGAACTGGATTCAGTATTAAAAAGCACCGTGGCGGGTGGATACATGTCTGTGTACACTTGTCCAGACCCACAGACTACACCACCAAGAGTGAGCCCTAATGTAAACTGTAGATTTGGGGTGATAATGATGTCAGTGTGGGTTTATCAGTTGTAACATATGTACACTGTGCTGCGGGCTGTCATTAAGAGAGGAGGCTGTGAGTGTAGGGGAGGGGGGGGGGAC